GAGGAAAGGGCACTGCTCTGGGGCTGGCAAGGGAGCATCTCCCAGCAGGGCTGCAGCTTCTGGGCTGCAGGGATATTGTGGCCAGGAGCCCCTCTCCTCCCCATGCCCATGGGAAGGTGGAGAGGAAGCACCTTTGTTAATCTAAAGCATGAAGAGTGTGGAATTAGCCCAGTTGTGCTTTTCCCAGGAGAAGATGCTGTCACCGAGTCTCCCCCTTGCTGCCTCTGCTCTCCTCGCTCCTCCCTGCATCATCATCCTCACTGCCACCCCAGCTCCTGCCCTTCCTGGCAGCCTCTGCTGCTGTTTGGGGACTGTCATTCTCCTTCCCAAAGCCACTTGGGACGTGGCTGCTGCGAGTGACACTGAGCTGTGCTTTGCTGCGCTGTGGTTTCACCATTTCCTTTTCCTCTCTCTGCCTGGGCTTGGATTCCTGCAGCTGAGGAATCCGTGGCAAAATCCCTTTCTGCCAGGAATGCCCACATGTTCCTCAGCTCAGAGCTGCTCTGGCATCTCGTCACAGGTGGTTTCTGCATCCCCTGCATGGCTGGCACACCTCACAGCCTGCTCCCTGAACAGAGAGCCCTGTCAGGGCAGGTGCTCCCTGCTCCTTTGGATGTTTGACCACAAAATCCATCCATCCATCCCTGCAGGCTTCCCCTGCCTGTCTGCACCACATCCTGTGGGTCAGCTCTGGCCCAGCAGCTCTCTGCCCTATATTCCAGAAAGTGTGGTTTAATGTCCCAGTTTGGGGTAAATAAGCCAAATCTCCAGCAGGCTCTGAGGGCAAGGATCAGGAAACAGCTTCGGCCGCTGCGCAGTCAAGGCCAGTTCAAGAAGCCCTTTGCAAGATTTTCCTACTGTTGTGCTGGAAGCTCCTGCTTCCCTTCATTTCTTAGAGGGGAAAAAAAACCCTCAGAGCTAGTTTGTGAGTGTGACCTGTGGAGACCCTGAGCATCCTGTGCTGGTGCTGGGAGCAGGGAGGGAAGGAATTGCTGCCAGCAGTTCGGGAGGCGTGGGTGGCAGGAGGGCTTTGTGTGGCGCTGGAGGATGCTCTGTACATGCATCCCTCCTAAACAAATACCTCTTTAAATGTGTGTGATGGGAATTCAGCTTTTTTTTTTTTCCTTTTTTTTTTTCCACTCGTCTCCAAGTAGGAGAGAGGCTTATTAGTACTCTCCTTCCATAGGCAAGATGCGGAGGCTGGGAAGTTGTGAGACGAGTTACATTTGCTTTTATCAGGCAAATCTGCTCTCTCCTGGACAGTCCCTTCAGCCAGAAGGAGGAGGAAAGGAAGCACAAGGTGCTGGCAGGAGCTCTAGGGGGAAGCTCATGAAACCACCCAGCACAGCCAGGGAAATGAACTCTTGTCAGGAGGAAGGAATTGTTTCCATGCAGGATAAGCACCTGTTGAAAAATATGTGTTGAATGTCACTGATGTGCATTCAGAGGAGCTGCACTCTCTTGGACATGGTGGTGTTTGCAAGCTGGAAGGGCATTTTAGGCTGGGACAGTCCCCTCATGTCTTTTTTAGGGCATTTTCCATCTGCAGCCTCTGAGAATTCCCAGGGAGCTCCTGCTAAGCAGGGGAGGGAAGGGAGGTTTCAGGGTGAGGTGTGATGGAAGGGAGGGCGGTTTGGGCAGCCTCAGAGCTCCAGGCAGATGGAGCTGGAAGAGAAATGGATGCTCTGAGCATCTCCTCAGATTCAGTCACAGAGAAAGGGAAGGATCCAGAGCTGAGGGTGCAGGGTGTGAAACGGGAGCGAGAGCTGGCAGCGCCCCGGCTGTGGCACGGCTCTGCACACAGGAATCTGCTCTTTGGGAAGGACAGATAACTCTGGGAGCTCCCCAGGATTTCTCTGTGAACGACACCGACCTGGCCACTTTGAGAGTGGAGGAGCAGAGCTGGTGTTTGTGGGAGGCAGCCGGGAGCAGGGGCTCTGCTGGCCAGGCAAGGTGATGCCCCTGAACTGGGTGATGCCCCTGAACTGGGATTTGGGATGGCAGGAGACTCCCCTCGAGGGCAGGAGGGCTCCCACCCCACAGACAGACAGATTTCTCAGGGTTTGTCTCGCTGTTGCTGAAGAGCCGAGCCTGTCATTATTTACTGCCATCTGTTAGAGACACGAATGGCAGCTGCTCCCAGTGATACCTTACAGCTCACAGCGGCTTTCAGCCCCCAAAACTCGAGCCCCCGGGGGATTTACAAAGACAATGAAACCCATCTGATGCTGTCGGGCTGGTAACGATCAGTGGAAATTTAGCTGTCCCTTGTAAGCTATTTGCATCTCTAGGAACATTACATTTATACAAACGTGTTTATGTGATTGCTAATATTTCCCTCTCTGAGAGGCCTGGCCTGTGTGGGTGCTTAGAGGAGGGTTTGTGTCAGATTCCTGTCTGTGACAAAACTCAAGTGGAATTCATCACATTTTTGATTCAGGAAGAAATTTGTCTCTCTTTTCCTTTTTTTTTTTTTGGTCCATTTTGAAAGGCCTGGGTACACACCCCTGCACAGTGAGATTTAGAAGTGATTACAGTGAGCTGGGAAGCAGCTGTCTGACATCAGTGGGATACAGAAAGCCTCCCAAAGACTTTTTCCTTTGCATAATATTGTCCTGATCATACTCCACTGATCCTACTAAGATGAATTTGTTATGGGGAGCAACAGAAAATGCAGAGGGAAAAGCAACTAAAATGTGTGCAGCTAAAAGTGTCCAAGCTGGATCCAGCTCGGTTTTGTGGCTGCTCCAGAGCTCTGCTCCCCAGTTTGCCAACCTGTGACCTTGCACAAATCTCCTGGCTTCTTTGTGGCTTGGTTTCATCCCCGATGAAATAAGGACAATGTCACTCACCTTGTCTGCAAAACGGTTTGAGGTCTAGTGGTAAAAATTGCTGGGAAGGAGCTTAGGTGGATTACAGTTTGATATTTATGGGAGAGCAGATAGCAGAGCAGGTGACAGCCGTGTGTGCAGGTCAGGCTGTGCCTGGTCAGCGAGGGGGACAGGGAAGGGGATTTCTTCAGAGGCACACAGAGGAGATTGCTGAAGTGTGTTTTGATCAAGAGTTATCAAAACTTGCTGGAGCAGAAAGAATCTTAAAATGCTAATGAGCTTTTGTCTGTGGAGCCTTGCTTGGGGCAGTTTCTGCTTTTCTCCAGGCTGGCTTTGCAGTGCTGCTCAGACCCTGCTCTGGGTCCAGTCCTGGCTCTCTTTTACTCTCTCTTCCTGGGGAGGGTGACATCCTCCTCGCTGAACCATTTCCCAGGAGTGTCGTTTTGCATTGTGAGAAGAAGGTTATTACAACAAACTCTCCATTTTCACAGCGCCAAGAGCAGGAGCGCCGGTTGCGTTCCTGCAGGCAGCCCCCGCGTCCCGAGGATGTGCACTTCCATTTCATTGTCCTCTATTTTTACCTCGTTTTGGGCAGGAGGAAGGGCTGGGACACCCTTGGGACGGGCAGTGTGTGGGCTGGTGTGGCCGGGGTGTGGCAGGAGGGACGGGGACAGGCCGGGAGGTGGCACCCAGCCCGCACATGGCACACGCATCAGCAGCCCCCGGCTGCTGCCGCCGCCGGCTTTTGAAGGCGAATTTAAACCCTAAAATAACTACTGCCACTCCCTGCTGAGGGAAAGTGGCCGCGATGAGCGAAGCCTCCCATTCCCCGCTGTCTGGTGAGACAAGGACATTCCCCTCTGTGTCAAGAGGGTGACATTGCCACCCTCCCCTTGTCCCCCAAGAGGAGCACTGGGCTCCCGCTGCCCTCCGACAGCTCCTGCAGCAAAGGGAGTGGGAGACATGTGCTAACCTAAGGAGACAGCAGATGGGTGCAGGCGCTTTTAAGAACAGCTGCTGGTGTCTCACTCAATAATCCCATTTTTAACAAATCCCTATGATAGCGAAAAAATGCTGGAAATTAGGTTTTTCTGTCCTCTCTCATCTCTCGAGCCACACTTGACCCGTTCAACATGATCTAGGGATTAAAGGCTTGTTATTTTAGCTTCTCTATAATAGATCAGAGGCTGATCTCTGTCAGGCTATTGAGCTACTATTCCTTGGCTCTCCCCCTCTTCCCACTCTTCCTTTTGTGTCCCAGGCTATGTGTTAGTCCAGAGATGTGACTCCTGCTGGGGGACACTTTCCCCCAACACTGTGCACCGTGTCATCAGCCCAAGGTGCTGGCTGCGGAACATTTTGGGGCTCTGAGGCTCCCAATTCTAAAGTCTTAAAACTCTGGAAGCTGCCTCAGGGAGGGAAGGCTTGGCACCCTCAGCATCGTCACCCCTCGGGCAGCAGGGGTGTGGCCAGGAGGAGGGACGGGAGGGAGCCTTGCTGTTCTCCAGGGGGGCTCCAAAGGTGTTTTTCTGTCTGAGATCCGAAGGAGGGAAGCTGTGGAGCCGATATTGTCCGTGCTGAGCTGTCGGCTGTGGGCTGAGGTGTCCTTCGTCGTCACCGTGCTTCAAACTAATCACGCCTTTGCCGACACAACACTCCTGCTAATTCCCTCGGTTCCCAGCTGGGGAAGCCGTGTCACCGAGATGCAAAGTGGCTTATCCAAGGTCACCCGCAAGGAAATGGCACGGAGAGGGAGAGAGCTGGGGTTTATCGGCTCCCAGTGCTCCCCAGTGCAGCTGGTGCCCTTCGGGGAGGTGTTGCTGATGGACAGGTGTGCTTGTGCTACCGGAGAAAGAGGACTTTTTTTTTTTTTTTCTTCCTAGGAGGAAGAGGCAAAAGGTGTGTCGGGGGTCTCTGGGGGCTCCGGAGGAGAGCCGGGCCCGTGTTTGCCCAAATCCCCGGCTGGCAGCTCCTCCGACAGGTGCCAGTGGGTGCTCCCCGGAGAGCACACCCCCGGAATGGCACCGGGACAGGGATGGGGCAGAGCGGCACAGCCCGGACAGACACAGGGACAGGAACAGGGATGGGGGCAGAGCAGCCTATCCCGGAGGGACACAGGGATAGGGATGAGGCAGAGCAGCCCATCCCGGAGCCGGGGGCGGGCGCGGAGCGGCGGCGGGAGGCGGGCGCTGTCCATGGCCCTGCGGAGCTCCGGGCGGCCCCGGGCTCCGCCGCGCCGCCGAGCGAGCGAGCGATGGGCAACACGGTGCACAAGACGCTGGCAGGTACCGGCGGGGGCGCGGGGCTGCGGGCGGGGGGCGCGTCCTGCCCCGGGGATGCTGCGGGCGAGCGGCGGCCGCTGTGCCTCCCCAGCCGCGGTGCGAGGCTCCCCGGGAGAAGCCGAGCGTGTCAGCAATCCCGGGAGAAGCCGAGCGTGTCAGCAATGGCCGGAGAAGCCGGGCGTTTCGGGAATTTTTTGCGGCGATGCGCGGCGGGCGGGGATGCTTCAGCGCGGGGTGAAGCGGGGCTGATCCCGCAGCGGGAGCGGCGCTTCCCAGCCCTCGCACCCGCTCCTCGGAGGGGCTTTCTGCTTCGTTTCGCCTTCTCGTTGTATTATTTTAATATAACTTTTTAATGGGGGGAGACGGTAATTGTTCGGAGCGGCCGGAGGAAAACTGCAGCGAGGTCTGAGATGTTGGGTGGGCTGCCCTGGCTTTAAAACTGCCTTTTTAGCCAATTCTGCACTTGGACAAGAGATGTACAGATTCTTTTCCTTTGCAAGTTCGTAACTGTGGGGTTCTCTCCCCCCTCGGAGAATCTGTGCATAATAAAAGCAGTTGGTCTCTATAGACTCAACAGTGTTGAATTACTGAGCCCTTGCCAGGCTGTATCTTCAGCTACTTTGCTTTTCTTTTCTTTTCTGCTCTTGCAGAGCTCCTGCATTGCATCCTTTGTACTTCAGGCTCCCATAAATAAAAAGGGTATTATTAAACTTATTTAAAGAAGCAGGAGGACCTATTGAACACATACACGTCTGCCTGTAATCAGCCGGGGAGCTGAATATAGAAATAAAGAGAGGAATAGATTAGCATTTGGATGTGCCACATATTGTCTTTGCAAAGAGAGGGTGCCTGGGACCTTCAGGGCACAAAAGAAAGCTGCTAAGCTCGTGGTTTAGCTATGAAGCAGCGATTAGATTTCTAGTTGCATCTCCTCTCATTCTCTATTACATTTAAATGGGACATTAGCTCCTCTCATAATAAGGAAGTTTTCAGTTTTTTTTCAATACTTCACCAACTGGCAAGTAAAGGCATCGTGAGGAGTGCATGACCTTGGAGGAAATTTATTTTTTTTTAGCTGGGGGCACATGCAAAAAACCTGTGAGAGGAAAAAAAAAAAAAAAAAAAAAAGCCAGGGAAACATCTTTGGGTCAGCAGAGGTTACCCCGGTCAGGCTGGAACTTCCCAGAGAAAAATATCTGTACCTGCTGGGCCATGGGATCCTGCTGAGAGCCGTGTTCCAGCAGGCTGGGAGTTGTACCAGCCCTTCTGCCTGGTGCTAGAACAGTCTCTCCTGAGCAGCCTCCACATGCTCAGCCCTCCACACGTGAATTTAAAAAAAGGGATGACATCAGCTGCACCGCAGTGATTCAGGACTTCCTCGCGGTGCTTTCGAAAGGAGTTGTTAAAGAGGAAAAGTTTGATGGGGGGGAAAAACGAAGGCTTGATTTATGGAGACCTCCCAGCTCAAGCGTTTGTTCTGGTGGCCTAGAAAATCTCGGTCGTGTCCCTCCAGGTGGAGGCTGTCTGGGAGGATTGCAGCGCTGGGGACGGTCCATTTGCAAACATTTGTCAAATTGCGCAAGGCAAAGCTATGCAGGACACTTGAATGCCTTTGCCGAGGGCTGGATGATGCTGGAAATGTGTCTTTCCCCCAAATTCAGCTCGCTTTTTACAAGAGTGATGACAGCCCGAAGGAGCTGTTAACCTGTGGCTGCAGAGGAGCTTTTGGATGTTTGCAGTTCGGAAGTTTATGAATGTCTTTTGTCGGGTTGGACCCCATTCAGCAATTTTTCATATGAAATTGAATTTTGGATGGATTGTTTGTCTTTCATTATCCAAATGGCATTGCGGAGGGAAGCAGGTTTAGAACTGTTCTTGGAACAGTCCTTTTGAAAATTAGAAAGTTTTTCCGGAAGACTGAATGGTTGGATGAAGTCCTATTTATAAATGTGAGGGCTGTTTAGAATTACTCAAAGATAATCAGTCAGAATTAAGTCTTTCCTTTTCTTGGTCCAAAATGCACCTCTTTCTTCACCCTGCAGACTGAGCAAGGCACTTTCACTCTCATTTTGACAAACAGAGGAATTGTTCTCTGTCCCATGGACTGAAGAAACTTCTTAATAAAACCCAAACAATCAAACAGAACATCTTCAAACTGAAATTTGCTTACTTGTGTTAAATTGATTCAGTGCAGAATCACTTTGGTCGTTTTGTTCACCATAAATAGCTTAAGGTAGAAAAAGCCTTTCCAATGCAATCAAATGTAGAGGGAATGTGGAGGGACCTAGCTCCTGGAAAAGCCAAACAAGCAGCAGTTCAGGTTTTATACAGAAACGTCAATGCTTTTCTCAAACAGCGGAATTCAGTTTTAAATCCTATTGAAGACAACTCATTTTTATACCCGACTTTGTCCCAATGGGCTTGAACAAACCGTTCTTGTTGCATCTTTAAACCCTCGCCCAGCCTCATCCGTTTCCGTGGAACGATGCAAGAGCACACGCTGTCGGTGCCGGAGGGATCCGTGCAGGAGCTTGGGAAACTCGTCTTTGCCAAGCACCCGGTGGTTAGCACACAATGGGCCGAGGCTCTGTCAAATTAACAGCGAGGTTCATGACGAGTCATGGGGCTGTGGCTAATGAGAGGCATTCCCGAGGAAGGGAGAGGAGCTGGGATGTGTCAGATGCGCTCAACAACGGGCCTGAGGTGCTGCTGGAAGTCGCTGTTATCTGGGTGACAGCTAAATGACACACGACACACGCGGCTGCTGCCTCCGGGCTGCCCCTGGGATGCTCCCGGAGCCCTCGGGATGCTCCGGAGCAGCTCCAGCATCTCCTGCCCGAGCAGCTCCGGCACAGCCTGGGAAGGGATGCTGCTGTTTCCCTGCTCCCCTGTCGCTGTTTCCCTGCTCCCCTGTTTCCCTGCTCCCCTGCTCCCATGTCCCTGTTTCCCTGTCCCCCTGTTGTTTCCCTGCTCCCCTGTCCCTGTTTCCCTGCTCCCCTGTCCCTATTTCCCTGCTCCCCTGTCGCTGTTTCCCTGCTCCCCTGTCCCTGTTTCCTTGCTCCCCTGTTTCCCTGCTCCCCTGTCCCTGTTTCCCTGTTTCCCTGCTCCCCTGTCCCTGTTTCCCTGCTCCCCTGTTTCCCTGTCCCTGTTTCCCTGCTCCCCTCGCCTCCCTGCCCATGGCCCCAGGTGATTTGCGGGCAGCTGGGTGAGGCAAGAGGGAATTGTTGGTTCTTGAGGCACGGTGTTCTCCTGGCTCCTGCAGGTGATGGGCAGCGCCTGCCTGGCCTGCAGAGCGGGCTGGGAGCTGCTGGTTCTGTGGCATTTGTGGCTCTGTGCCTGGTTTTCTGCAGGGAATCGCTTTGGAGAGAGGCAGGGAGCAGCACAAAGCACCCCGGTGTCGTGGATGGGGCTCCTTTCTCCGTGGGGCTCCTTTCTGCAGGCACACACAGGGCTCAGGAAAGGGTTAATAACCAGAGGGAGCAGGAAGATGCCGGGACCTCAGCAGGGCAGGCTTGGGAGAGGGGAAAATTCCTCTGATCCAGGGAAACCCTTGTGAGGAGCAGTGTCTGGGAGGCTGGGACAGCAGCGTGTGCTCGTGGTGGCAGGGGGAAGGTGGACAGCTGCTGGGACACAGCAGGCACTCACCACCCCCGGCACGAGTGAAGGACTTTCCACTCGGGATCCAGTTGTTGGTCCTGACCCAAATAGGGGCATTGGTATTTAAAAAAGGAGCCAAATTCCCTTTTTAGAATCTGGCTGGGATCTGATTGCTGCGCTTCTCCCACAGCCTTCCTCACAACTGCGAGGAATACCAAGTATGAGTGGCATTTGTGTCTGGTAAACACGAGGGAGAATGGGGCTTGTTCTGGCACAAGTGACTTCGGTGCAAGAAATTATTTTGTATTCTTAAGGAAAAGGTTTCTAATCATTAACCTGCCCTCAACAAGGCAGAAATCCCAAGTTTAGACCTTCACCAGGCTGGTGCTCCCAGCTGCCAGGCCAAACAGGGATGGTTGGAGGGTGCTGGTTACGGCAGAGCAGCAGGAATTTACAGCATGTGGGTTAAAAAAGACATTTCTGTGTATGCTTTTTCAAAATACTGATTCAGTCCTCCTCTAAGAAATGAGGAGAAAAGTCCATGCAGCGGGAAAAGATCTCTCTGCCTTTTCCAGGGTCTAAAATTTCACTTGAAGGAGTACTTTTGTTTAGATTTGTTTTCTGGTCCCTCCTCCTTCAGCTGCTAGTGATGCACTGTGGGAGGAGTTTTGTTATTGTCAGGAGCTCAGTAAATTGTTTGATTTGGCTCCAGTCTGACTTCAAGAAAACTACAAAAAAACACTTCAGGTTGTTCTGGTTTGAGTGAAAAAGGTACCTGTTCAGACCAGTTTTTGGTTTGGGTTTGGTTCAGTGCTGATCAACACGGACTGCAGGTGTTAGTCCAGCCCAATTTTGCCTGTTTTTCTGCATCTTTTAGGCTGGCAGTTGAGGTTCTGAGAGTCTGTCACTGATTTTGATGACTCCCTGTGTGACCTTTAAGCAAGTGGCTTTATCACTTTTTTTTTTTTTTATCACTTTATCAGGATTGCTTTGAATGTAAGGGAGGTAGGAAACCCTGGCTCACATGGGGGTACAAGAGTTAATTAATTATGAAGTATCTCCTGGAAGAAGGTCACAGAAGTGAAAAAAAAAAAAAAAAAAAAAAAGAGAAAAGATTAATTCACTGCTTTCTTAGCAACCTTCTGCTTTTCCACTCTTCAAAAGGAAACCTGTGAGGCTGCTCAGCCTTCTCTGGGATTTAGGGCTGGAGCAGGTTGGTTGTGCACCGAGGGCTCTCTTTAACCACTGTACATGCCCCAAACTGTGCTGCAGCCAACTGGCACGATTAATTCAGCCTTTGGCACCTCGGCTCTGGAGGCTGGAGGAACAACTGCGCTCCAATCCAGGCAGGCATCGCCTCCCAGGCTGGTGTTAAATGGAGCTGTGTCATGCCCCGTGGCCCACGG